AATATATGTAATTTAATTATGGGCCCGGCAGCGTCAACGTCAGCGTCAACGTCGGCGACGACGCGTGCGGCGGGTGGCAAATCGCCAGGAAAGAAGGCCACAAGAAAAAGTAAAGAGAAAAGGAGTAGAAAAAAAAAAAAAAAACGGGCACCATAGAGGAAAATGTACGCATATCCTGCTGCTTAAAAGTCCTCCCCTGCCATGGCACTGTTTTTCCCACTCTTTCTGTCCCTTTTGTTGTCCTGTTTTGTACCGTTTTTCCCCTCCCCCCCCCCCCCCCACCAAAACTCCCCCTTCTGCTAGCTGCTGCGTTATTTTGACTCAAGCTGTGCACATTTTCGGTTTGATTATCGAACACAATATTTTTTCGGCTCTCGCTTTCTCCTTTGTTGCCGCTGCTGCTGCTCCTTGTCGGCCATAATTGACGATTGCGCCATGAGTCGCCACAATTTCTGTCCGCCTCCGCCCTATCCACATCCACATCCACATCCTCCTCCTCCTCCTCCTTTTTGGGCCCGGGCAGCAGTGCCTTGCTTTCCCTTTTAATGAAATTTCCCTCCTCGCACTCGTCCTTATCCTCATCCTCATCCTCGTCGTATTGGCAGTTGGTCGAGTAAACACATTAAACAGATTTCGAATTTTTTAATATTCGCATTCGGGTGGCGGATGGCGGGTGGCGGGAATTGTCGGTTGGGCGGGGGCGGGGAAGAAATTAATTTGAAATGCGGAAATTGTGAAAAGCGAAAAAGATCAGAAAATTATGTTGTAATTTGGAGCGGCGACGCGGATTTGATTGAAATATTCAATTCAAAATGGGATGAAATTCTGGATTGTCAGTCCATAAAAAAACAGAGGGGCAGAAAAAAACCGCTTTAAAGATTGCGGCGGCGGGCGGGGGGGAATTTGTATGGCATTCAACAGAATGTGGCCCTAAAAGTTGAAGATTCACGCATCCAAATGGTAGATTATACGTTATAGAAGGGCTTGAGTGCCTCTAAAGGGACAAAGTAGTTGGTATTATCTGTGAAACAGCAGAGGACTATCATAGGGAGGGAGCATTTAACAACAGATTTTGTATACATCGATAATGGAGTGTAGCGCGCATCAACCCCCGGCTCTCGCGCCCAGAGAGAGGCATATACTCGTACCCGATATGCTTCAGGCTGCTGCCCGATTATCACATCGTATCGGGTGTGTGTGTGTGTGTCTGGGACTTGAGTTTTCGAAGGTGACACCCCCAGCACCTAGCCAAGCAAACAATAGATCACACAACCGAAAATGGAAGATTCGGGCATTAATAATAGCAATAAAAAGAGTCGTAAACGAGCGGCAGTAACCGTTAAAGCCAGAGAAACCCGTTAAGAGCACGAGCAACACCCACACGACGAATACCCGTATGTAAAACCGAGCTAATGCCATGCCATGCCATGCCATGCCCAAACAGCAACAACAACAAAAGACAAGAAAAAGAAAATAAGAAAAGAAAATATCTATGTATATAATAATAAAATAATAAAACGAAGAGGAGCCCGAAAAATATTGATAGTACAATGGGGCACACAGCCCCATAAATGGTGTAGGGCCGCAGTCGAGGGTCTTTTATGGGCTTGTGGGCCGTTCGATTCGTGAGTCTCTCGGAAGCCATTGATTTGTGACGCCGACGGATAGACCGAATAGAGTGGATAATGGACGGTGCGGCCAGTGGCCACTCGCCCGAAAGGTGTACCAAATTAAGGAAGCCGCACATGAAATCATCTCTCAGTATCTTAGTATCTGAGAATCTCAGAGTCCATAAAACGCGCCCCATCTGTACGCATGTCGTTCGCACCAATGCGATTATTGTCATGGTCATGTGTCCCCCGTTCAGAGTCGAATGTCTGGTCTGTGTGTCCATCACCGAAATGCCCACACTATTCGCACACCTCGGTGCCGAGCACATTCCTTTCCGGCATAGAGCATAGCGCGACACATGATGTGGCATTCGAGGTGTCCGCTGATTGCCATCTCGAAGGAGATTCGTTTGCCCGTCGCGCTCTTTCCTCATATTTACGATGGAGATTTATTCATTCCAGTTTCCCTCCCCCCCAGCCCATTCTTCTGTCACCCCTCGGACTCGGACTCGGACTTGGGATTTGGGATTTCCGATTTTTAGATTAACAAAGTTATGCCATAACAATCACCCTGGATATTGGGCTATTCTCGGCTCTCGTTATTGTCAGTTCCTTTGAAGATGGTTTTTGCTTTATTAAAAACGGTCAAAGCATTGTTGAGTATTGATTTTCGGAACGAAAGAGGATGATATTCGGTGGCAAATTCAATTGAAAGTTTTTAGTTTTTAATCCGATTAAGAGGCCTATAACAATGGGGCTGGGGGGGGCGGCTTGTATTTTATGGTCAAGTAAATATGTCTCTCCCCCAATTTCAATGAGGATTGTGTAGGCTTTCTTTTCCCAGTAAGTTTAGTTCGAATTGTCCTCGTCTAACGGCTATCTTTCCTGCAGGCTCGCGTCATGCGGCAGCGCCTCTCGGTCGGAGGGCCTAACAGCCATAGGGTTTGTGTTGGATTTTACCGACTCTACCAAAGTTACAGCACCCTTCCGTAGCTATGCGGTCCTCCAACACAGTTATAGCTATTCTGTAGTTTTGTCTTTGATTTCTCGTGTGATTTGAAGACTTACTTTCTCGATGCACTGCTGCAACGCCAGCCAGGTGCACTGCGGAGCACCAGCAGAATGGTTTTAAAATAGGAATCCGAAGATGCATTGAAATAAAGATACGTTTTGGTCGGCAGGAATTTGGCAAACATAGGACTAATGATTTATATATATATATACAGTACGTGTATCAAGCATTCAAATAGTGTACTTTGATTGACAGATATAATCTATGGATCTATTCTGGGGTGTACGGCGGGGGGTTTATGAGTCACAGATCGTAATTAATGGGTAGCACTGGTAAGTCTAGCCGTTCAATTGTGGACCTAGCCGTGTAACGGCAAACACCTTGCGCCCCCAGGGGCGGCCCTGTCAACTTGTTACTCCTCCCCTTCCTCCTCCGCCTCCTCCTCCACGAGGGCTATACATAATATCTATGTAGGCATATGGCACCAATACATGGCCAGGCTTGTGTGCCGTTGTTTCGTCTCTGTTGATTTTGGTCGGACGAGTAGAGTAGGCCCCTGCCTGCATACATTTCGAGTTTTATTTTCTATACGTATGTACGTCTCCTGCCCTCGTCTCCCGTTTTAGGGCCACTTAGAGGCGAACATCGTCGTCGTCGTCGTCGTCGTCGTCGTCGCTGTCGGTGACTGTCGAACTGGCGGACTGTCACTTCTGAGTGGATGACTGACTGATTGCATGACGAACTAACGAAACTAACGAATCAGCGGACCAAACGATACCAAACACTCATCCATATGAATACATAAACATACAGATATACATATGGGTATGTACCTACACTACATCGATGAAGAGAACAGCGGGGGAGGGGATGGAGGGGTGGAGGAGGGGGGACCTCTTAAAAGGCCGGTGCTGTGCCTGTGCTGTGGCAGCGAAGAAGAATACAACAATAATGGGCCCGAGACCGACCCCGGACGGACCGTACCGTACCAAACCGAACCGAACCGGGCCCAAGTTTACTTTTGCCTTTTTCACTTTTGATATTTTGACATTTTCATTTGACAGCTGATTGAAGGGCCCCGACCGAAGCAACAGCACAGCTCCGTCCTCGTCGTCGTCGTCGTCGTCGTGCGATTCGATTCCGATCGATGTTTGTGGCGACACTAGAGAGGTACGGAGAGGGGGAACAGAGAGAGACTGCTGGTGGCCAGGAACGATAGCGATAGCTGTTGTCAGGTCGCATAGTGCTCAGGCTCATGTGGTGTCAAGTGCTGTGGCAGTGGGGCAACAAGCAGCCCGAATGTGGCAAAAACCAAAGCCGGAATCAATTCGATTCCGTAGTGCTGTAAACACCTGGCACTATCCTCCCTGCACTCCAATATGGCACATAACTCTAGCGATCTGCCGCCTGCAGAGGCTGGTAGCTCTCTTGTATATTTTTCTTACCATCGGAACAACAATGACACCCACTGTGGCAGCCCCAAAGCCCCCCTTCGGTACGTGGCAGGCGGGTCAGAGGCAAGGTGCGTTCCGCATATGAATGTGTGACATGTTTGTCGAAAATGTTCAAAGTTGTTTGGCTCTCTGTCGTTTTTCGTTGTTGTCGCGCATTGCCTGATGGAAATGGAAATGGGAGCGGGGAACGGAGGGGCGGGGAGGGGAGGGGAGTGGTGTGGTGTGGAGGCTAGGTGTTTGGCTTGCCAGTGCAGGCCAAGTTGCGCCTAATGGCGTCGCGTGCGTTAACTTTTAGCGTCGAGTGTGTGTGTGTGTGTGTCTGTGTGTGTGTGTACTTTATGCCGTGTTTGCCTAACTGCACATGACAGTTGCTGGGCATTAGCCCGATCCAATTTGGCAGTCGCTGCGCCTCAACATCCACTGTCCATTGTGGGAACGGAATGACCCGGAGCACTCGGTTGACACCTATTTGGCTTGGCTTGGTTTGGTTTGGTTTGGGGTGCCACGGGCTGGGGGCCCTGCTTCTTTGCATTTAATTGCCCGAAACTCTGACAAGCCCCAGAGCCCGCATGTAGGCCCCCGCCCGGCGCACCTCGGCGAGGGCTAATCGAAAGCGTTTTTACTTTCATTTCCGTTTCCATTTCGGTTGACATTAGTTGCAGGTAACCTTCGTCTCTCTCTCTCTCTCTTGAACCAATTATGTCTGCTCTCTGGGCCTGGGGCTGGGGCTGGGCCTTGGGGCTGGGGTTGGGGCTGGCTAACGATCCAATTAGGACCATGGGCCATGGCAGGAGGTTCGCTGGAGTTGTGTTAATAATGAGGTGGTTAGCCATACGAAGGATCTGCCGAATCGGGACTCCTAGTGCTACCAGAAAGAAACCATTTTCCACTAGCCACTAAAGTGCCCCGCCTGAGATACTTTACCTTTAGAGATACTTTTTCATCTGACGACTGGCAGCGTGGCTTTCTTCTGGAAAAAAAGGAGAAACAGAGAACGTTAACAAAATGATATTTACACACAGCTTGAAGGGGGGTTGGTTGGTCCCATGTATTATGGGAATTGGTGGCAGTCAGTCCCACGAGTCCCACGAGTCCTGCCAGCGCTTCCGTCGTCCTGGCCCGAATTCAAGTACAACGCTGCAAGGCTGCAAGGCTGTCGGTAAACAATTGCGGAGCTAAATGAAGATTGACGAGGAACATGCACTGCCCCCCACACCCCACCAGTGTCCACCCAATTCGGATTCCATTTCAGATTCCGGTTCTGGCTGAAGCTCCATCCCGAAGACGTTTTAATGTAATCCCATAAGATAGGAGGCAAAGTGCAAGGACTGCGGCAGCACCACCTACACGGGACAAATTACATTGCCATTTCCACGTTTCACTCATCCGTGCAGAGCGCTCCCTCGTCCGCTCCCAGCTGCTCTCCGGCTCTCCTGCTCTCCGGCTCTCCGGCTCTCGTGCTCTGCTCTTAAGTGCTCGAAAGCGCATAGTTCGGTGGCGCTGTGCCGCCGCCGGGGCGCATACGAGCAGGAGTAAGTGTAATCAACATGCAAGCCGAACAATGCCCTACCAGGACCAGCACCAGCACCAGCACCAGCACCAGCACCAGGACCAGGACCAGAGGTATGCCTCACGTATCCCTGGCTGGACGGGCGCCTGGAGTGGCGTTCAAAACGAATTTGCCACAGCACTTGAGCGCTCAACAATCCGTTGTGGAGTACAGGGACAAGCATGACGATGAGCATGAGCATGAGGACCACGACCACGACCAGGACCAAGACCACGACCGAGCATGGCCATGTATGAGGTAGCGTTGCAGCGATAATAATGACGGCGAAAACAATTGCAACAACGGTAAACAAGAATTCGCTCGACACGCTCGACACTTGAGGCACGGGACGACGAGGACGACGAGGACGAGGACGACGCCTCCTGGCCGGGATCTGCCATTCCGTGGCAGCAGTGGCACGCAATCACGCGCATTCGCGCGGCTATGGCCGTGGCTGCCACAGCGGCCGGGGGGTGGTGGTGGTGGTGGTGGTTGCAGTCTCGGGCTCTGCTCGGAGATTGTTGTTGTGTAATAAGCATTAATGGGGTGCTCTCCGGGATTGCCGTTACCGTTGCCGTTGCCGTTGCCCTTACCATTACCGTTACCGTTACCTATTCATCCCGAACGTTGTTATTGTTTATCTGTCAACATGCAACGACGTCGTCATCGTCGACGGCTGCTGCACAAACACTCGTATCGTATCGTATCGTATCGGATCATCCGTACAGTGGGACGAGGCCCAAGGAAATGTGAAAGCGGAGGGGTCCTGTATTTGTTTTCTCCATTGGAGTACCAGTTCATCTATGGTTTTCCTTTCAAATTCGCTGAAGAAGCGTCTTTATCGATTTATTATCGATTACATATTCAAAATTCAGGACTTAACACTATATTTTATCCACCGATGTATGTATCTTTTATCATTAATTATTGGCTTTGTATATGCGCTCAAAAGGAATCCTTGGATGGAGCTGGGGGCTCCCATCGAATCCCTGAATTCCCAAAATTTATATTATCGATAGATTGAACTGTTCTCCTAATTGCAATAATCATTGCATTTGTTTGTTCATCATCGGACCACTGTGCCACCGTCATCGTCGTCATCCTCGACCTCATCATCCGCATTGTCGTAGTCATCCCCGAACCCATCAACGTGCCACGTTGCAGATGATGTGGAGGATGATGATGATGATGCCAGCGTGGCAGCGCCAGCCAGCGAGAGACAGAGAGAGAGAGAGAGAGAGAGAGATAGGGAGCGAGAGGGAGAGGGAGAGAGCGCGTGTGAGAAATCATCTTTTTAATTTTCACAATCAAATGTTTCTGTTATTATTTTTTCCACTCGACTACCACATTTTCCGAGCCGACCCGAGCCGAGCTGAGCCGAGCTGGAGGCTACGGAGCGGAGCAGCTGTCCGGAATTGAAACGGGGTGGCACGGGTGTCGAGTGGCAGACTGGCAGAGCGGCTGAGCGGCAGAGATGAGAGACGGAAGAGGGAGTCCCAGTCTCTGCCACTCAGAGACTCGAGTTTTGTTTTGTGGTTTATTACACGCAAATAAATTACATTTATGTTTGTTTCCATTTCCATGCAGTCACCACAAGCTAGGGATGGCACTCATGGCCGATATTTATACGTTTTGGACCAGCGAATGATGCGATAGTTACGATAGGTCAAAGGACACAGGAGAAGAGTAAGCAAAATATGCGCGAAAGTAAAGATATAGGCTTTAGATGATTATATTATGGCACAATCGCTTCGGTAGTGCGGCAACCCCGGCTCACTCGCCTCAGAGTATCGGATACATACGATATCATTCCGAATACAAGACTGACACTCGTCTGATTCGTGCCTTCACGGCCCATCTCTAGCAGCCACTACTTTGGCACATTTGTTTCCATTTCGACTGTAATTTTTCCAATGCAATTTTCCCATACACTTTTCACGTTTCCCACTCCCCTCCCCAATCCGTAGAGCAGCTCTAATCACACCCCACCCTCCCCCCTTCGCCCGGGCAGCGGTTGTCCGTTCCCCGATACGAGTACGAGTAGTACCCGATTGTTTGCTGCTCTTTATTAATTTGATCATTTCATGATTGCCTTTTGTTGCTGTTTCTTTTGTTGTAATTAACCTTTTGTCTCTGTCGCTGGTCCCCTCTCCCTCTCTCTCTCTCTCTCTCTCTTGTGTCCCTGTTTCTGTGTTGCTGTCTCTGGTTCGGTGTTCATTTTTTGGTGCTTTGGTCTATTTTTGTCCCATGGCCCCGGTCAAAAGGTCTGACAGATCCCATGCTCCCACCGTCCGTCCCATTGTCCCGTATTCCCATTGTATTTAGTGACATCAACACAACACCATCTTCCCCGTCCACATTCCCTTTCCCTTTCCCATTCCCGATTCCCGGTTGAACCTTAAGTTTTGACCATACCCCTCCCCCTCCCTCTGCTGCTGCTACTGGATGTTCGGCTCTCTCTCTCTCTCTCTGTCTTTGTCTCTCTTTGCTGCCCAGATGGACTCTACTCTGCTTAATATGGTAATTATGCACTTGACATTTGACGAGGGCTGCCCCGCCCCCACCTTCAGCACGACTTTCATTATCCACGTCCAACAAATTATTACATAACCCCTTCGGCAGGGCCAAGAGAGAGTGCTCACCGTTTGGGTCCTGTCCTGCTTCCTGCTTCCTAATTACTCATACTCGTAATTGTGGCAGGCGGTGTCTCGTGCTCGACTTGGAAAAAAGAGTTAATTGGAATTGAAGCCGTGAAGCCGTGAAGCCAGTGCCTTTTCATTCCGTGCTCACAGTCTTCGTTTTCGTTTTTCATTTACTGTGGATATTGGATTTTAGCTTTGCCTGCGATCCACTCTCTCTCTCTCTGAAACATTCTCTCTCCCGTAAGCTCACAATCTCGCCTAAGCTCACTCACTTCCTTTGCCTGTGTCCATGTGATGCGATGCTTTGCTTGCGATCCACTCCACTCTCTCTCTCTTTCTGAAGCTCTCTCTCGCCTAAGCTCACTCTCTTCCTTTGCCTGCATTTACTGTGGACTTTAGAATTTAGCTTCGCCTGCGATCCACTCTCTCTCTCTGAAGCTCTCTCACGCCTGTGCCATGCCACGATACGTAGGAATATTTTCGCAATTCTGTCGAACTTCGATATCGAATTGCCAGAGACTAGAGCATCCGATGGCTTATCTCTTTATCTATAGATCCCACCAGCTTTCGATGTGCTTTGCTATAGAGGGAGGAGGCAGCATTGCTTCCCCACTTCCTTGCCAGAGAAAGACAAAAAAAAAGAAGAAAAACAGTGAAGAGGGAACCCAAATTAGGAAATTGAGAAAATGTGACAGTTTAATCCCGTTTCTGCTTGCCCCGAGACCCACTCCTTGGCCTCTTTGATTCGACTGCTAGAAAATTCATTGAGAAAATTCACGCATGCGAAGTATTGAAAAACATTTTCCGCGAAGCTTGGGAAATGCCTTGAACCGGGACAGGGACAAGGACGGGGACCGGGACCGGGCTCCGTCTTAATTTATTTATTTATAAGCGCATTTATTCCTTGCTCAACGCATTATATTCGTATATAAATTTACATTAACATTTTTTCGCATCATTTCACAGAGGAGTGGGGGGAGGTGGGGGGTGCGGAGACAGAGAGCAGAGGGCAGAGGGCAGAGAGAAGCATTAACAGCCGGGGAAAAACCAAATGAAACTCATTAAAATTTTACGAACTTGATGTTCGGGAGCAGTTTTTCTCTTTTTATGGGTTCCGTTGCGTATTTTCCTTTTTGCCCCAGCACTTTGCCTAATTTCGGGGGGCCGACCGGGCCTACGACAGAAACAGAAACAGAGACAGAGACAGAGACGTCAAGGACCAAAAAGACATTTCAAATTTTGATCACGTTACGTTTTTTAATTGTTCCCCTGCGGCGCGCTCATTAAAAACGCCCCACCCCCTCCCTCCCCGCACATTCCATGGCCCCGCACTCGTAATTGAGACCTCGAGAGTTCTAGCTTTTCTCCGGAAAAAAAGAAAGATTCTTCCATCTTCGTGTTGCCAGTGTTTCCTCATTTAAATTGAGCAGAAAATATTTTAAAGTTTTATTGACTTTCTCCTCGATTTGAAGGCATTTCTCATGAGGAGATTTTTACGACAAATGCTTATCTTCTCAGACCCCCCGACCACCAGCTCCCATTCCCCCGGAGCTCCTTGAGTTTCGGGTTGCCACGTCAGCTACTCGGAAATTAGCTTGCAGCAATTTAAATGTTGTAAAAAAATATAAATAACATGACGAAAGACGAAAGACGACACCCAAGAACCCAGCAAAACCCAACACTCAACAGAAACAAGCTTTATGGCATTTGGCCTCGGGTTATTTGCCGAATTAAACTCAAGACGATTAAGCTGTTTGAGGCCCTGCGTCAGGACCAGAA